ATACAGTATTATTTTAGTAAGGATCTACAGGGTCTACAAGGTCTCACTACACAGATTAGACTCTAGCGATCTGCCTGTGTTCAGCCTCCCAAGTGCTGGGATTACAAGCATGCACCACCACACCCAGTCTCAGTCCAAGTCTCAGTGTGCCCTGTGGGTAGGGCCTGCACAGCACGCCAGGATCAAACCCCCACCACTGCATCTGCAGCAGGCACTTTAATCCGCTGAGCTATCTGGCTGGCCCTAATACCATGTTTTAAAAGAATGATTTTATTCAAGCTGAGTGGAAAAAATCCTTAAAAATCCATTGTTCAGTCTCCTTTTCATTGCATGACTTAGAAGCTGAGAGAGAGTAGACCACATGACCCAGTCAAAGTAACACCTCCTCTAGACAGACCCACAGGTGCCACCTCCTTGTGATAGCTCAAGGGAGAGGCTGTGATTGTTCAGTTCCTACTAAGAATGACATTAGTGGAATCAAGACGTTGACATATCTTCAGGAAAGGAGCTCAAGTGGTGGTGAACAGTGACACCAGGTAGGATGTTCTCTGACTTTTGCTGGCTATTCATGGACCACTCCACTGTTCTCTATAATTTGGAGAAAAACTTAGTACTACCCCAGCAACTTGTAAGCCAGGGAAACCTGTAATGGCTTTGATTCATTTGAATAACAGGAATCATGTGCAACTCCGAGTTTACTACAGTTAAAGTGGGGAGAATTTTCACATTTCATGGGGATTTCAAGAGAGAACAAAATCAAAATAGTTACATGGTTAAAGAATGAAAGTTATAAAGATCAACTTATGTTCTATGAAACAACAATAACTGAAACAAAGACAAAGTAGTAATCTTCAAGCAGGTAAACCTTACTTGAATGATGTCTGTCAAAGGAGGTAGAACAGTGGGAATGAAGGCATCTTCTCTAAAGTTCAATCATTTAAAGTCATTCAAACAAAAATTCATGAAACCTTATCAATTAACAGAAACAGAAGAAATAAACTTTGGTGGTGGATAAGCACATTGGTGGTGGGGAAAACACATACGCAAACTATACTTAGGTTAAAAACCACTTAGTAACAGAATTTACACAGAATCAAGATTGTTATAAAGTCAAGAATATGTGTATCTTATGGGAGCTCCAACTGAAAATTACGGTGCAGATGTTTATTGATTAGTGTTTTATAAATACAAAGAAAGCAAAAGATAAACAGACATATTTCAATAAGTTGGATCAGCTCTTCCTAAATACTCTAAATTTATATGACTAGTGCCTTATTTCTCATTTCTGAAGTAAGTCGATATTGTAATAATCAATATTTTTATGTGTGTTGGAAAGACCATCAGACATGGAGCTTACAGAATAAAGACTTACACTTTGCAACTCAAAATTACTATTATAGGAGCAAGTTTAAGATTCAATATTGAATCTCAACTTTATTAAAGCAATAAAATAGACACGATAGTAGTATTCCTCTCAAAAGAATAGTGTTAGGGTTAAAGCACACATCTATTTAAGTAGCCCCAAATAACATGTGGCACGTACTATATGCCACAATACACTATGATTGCTATTATTTTGTTCAGAGTCATTTTTCAATCTGCACACAGCACCTTCTAATTTCTTAAGCAAGTATAACATGCACAACATTTTCTGTCTTTGATGGTGGCTTCATCTTAAAATGATCATGAAATTTTCTTTCATCGGCTTCCCCCTCTTTGCTGGGATGGGGAACTCTCTTACCAGACACAACAAATCCAGAGTCTGGATTCCTTTGACTGTTCTTTAAACTCAAAGCAAGAAAAAAACGTTTTGGGTCAGTTGTCCCTTTGCTATGTCCCATCCATTCAGTGGAGGGGAAACAAGTGAAGTGTTAACACTTCTTTGGCCCATGGTTTACTTCTTTCACCCCAAGTGCATTTAACCTGTCTCACCATAAAAGAGGAAAAATTGACAGAGTACATGAAGAAGGCAGCAGTTTAAGAAGGAAAGAAAACAGCGGCCATCACGAGGCAAAATGGTAAGTGTGTCAAACTGACAGAACCCACGGTGATGTCACCCTTCCCATGCTATCCGGGGTGACGCTGTCCCTCCTTACAAGGTCACAGTCAGAGACGCCCCCTGCAACTCAAAACTTTCTTTCCTATAAGAGAGAAATTGAAGCCCGGTGTAACTTCACTGGTGAAATTAGCGATCATCATGTCAAAAGAACTGAATTAAACTGAGGTGTTGGGGTGGGCAAGAGAGCTTGGCGGTCGATAACACCTGCTTAGGCAGGCGTAGGAACTGCGGTTCGATCCCTGGTACCGCATGCCATGCCAGACTCACCCCCAGGGTGGGCTGAGATGGCCACAAAAACCAACCAACCAACCAAACAAACAAACTGAGGTGTGAATGAACTCTTTAGAACACAAGGCTTACTGGCATGGCTTCTGCCATGGGGGGACCAAAAGAAAGGAAAGATGGAGATTTTATAGTCTTTTATGGCTTATCTTCGGCAAGAATAAATATATGAAAATTACATGATTGTCTTTGTAGGTGTATATTCAATATACTTGAGGTTAATCATTTGCAAAGAGTAAGATGGCGTCTGTATGTTAAGATTTATTAAAATCACAACTCCCCTGACATACTATCTTATGCTGGATTGCTATGTTTTTCTCTTTCTCATGGATTGAGTCACACATCCTACAGACTTAGTTTAGGTCAAGTAAATTACATACCTACCTACTACAAAGAATCTGTGAGTAGAATTTGAGTAAAAGAAAAAAAAAAGCATTAAACAGTGGCGATTATTCAGTTAGTTCCTTTCTGGTAAAATGATTCTGATGAGGAAAGGTTTATTATTTAACAATGGTGAACCTCCTCAAACTACGCAGTTAAAAACCATGAATGCTAGGGCTAGGTGTCGCGGAGCGGCAGACACTGTGCTCTGCGTGAACAAGACTGACCCGTAGTCCAATCATCATCACCACAAATAAATAAATAAAACATCTAAAGATGCTGTGGGTTTTAGGACCCTCCGTCACTACAGACAGATGTAGCTGGGTGCTCCTGGGAGGCAGATGTTTGGATGCTGACAATACTTTCAGCTGAGATAATGTGGAAAGGTTACCTGTCCCAGGGACTGCCAGTCCAAGCCGGCACTGCCGATGTAAACATGCTGTTTGTCCACGATCCAGAAGGAGGACTGTAGCCGGCCCTTGTTGTACGCGGTCATGTTCATGTATGTCACCTCGGCTCCTAGGAGTTCAAGGAGATCCCGGTCAGCCCTTTTGCTTGAAAGCCCTGCAGAGCAATCTGTCATTGACCAGGAACAACATTCATGGTCTGCCATCGGTCATAGCTGAGATTTGGGGAAGCCAAATGGTCAAGTTAAGTAGGCACAGTGAAGGCCCTCAAAATACTATTTTGTTCCCCAAGAGAAGACTACATATTACCTAAAGGCCTCTTCCTGTGTATATGCAGGGAGGACTTTGTATCTAGTGATAGACCATGGCTTCTCAAGTCACCGACATCTGCATAGAATTCCCACCCAACACTTCCTGTCTTGATGGTGAAATAGGTTCACCTCACACTCCTATTCTTTTTCTTTTGTAATACATTTATTACAACCTTTTATATATTTACTCATTGGTACAGGGTCCCATTATATGCAACCCAGACTCATAGTGATCCCCGTCTCAGCCTCCCCAGTTCTGGTATTACAGGTGGGTGCCACTTTTTGGGCAGCACAGAACATTACCCCAACACAGCATTTGGTAACAGCAGGGATTGAATCCAGATCCTTGTGCTTGCCAGGCAGGCGCTTAGGCCACCGAGCTATCTCCCCAGCCTACTACAGCATTGCAATCCATACAAGGATCTTCCCTGTTCAGTGTAACAACTCTGCCCATAAAGAAATTGGCCTCCTCATACTTTCTTTATATTACTCCACCCTTTCCTCATTTCACTTTCTGTTAGTTTGCATTACGGTGACCAAATGCCTGAGCTAGAAAGTTTCAAGGAGGAAACACATTTTGGGTCATGATTTCAGGATTGTTAGTGCACGGTCAGTTGGTACCAAGGCAGATGCATGATGGCATAAGGGTGAGGTGGAGGAAACTGCTCGCCTCCAGGAAGCCAGGAAGCTGACAGAGGAGGAAAGAGCCTGAGAGGAAGTGACCTTGGAGGGAGTTAGGGCCCTCCTGGCCCAGTCATCTCCTAAACAGCCAGCCTTCAGAACACGGGCTGTTTGGGGTTACATGCTGGATCCCAGCCCTACCCTGTCTGACCACCATCTTCCCCTTTGTTATTTAATTTAGATTTGGTATCTTCATGGCCTTTCTCTATCCAGTAGTTTTTAATTTAGGCAAAGATGAGTCAAGCCTACTGAAACACAACCTTGAGTGGTTCGCTTAATCACTGAGGCTATTGTTAGAACCAAAAATGATCCAAAGAACTGAATTTGACCAACTTTTTAATGAAAATGTGGAGAATCTGCTGTAGAACTTTTAAGCATTACTGCCTTAAATGCATTCAGAACCTCTGAGAAGAAGCATTAGTCAGTGCAGGGTGACTTAAATAATTTCTGTTGCCAGTTCATTCTTTTTAAGAGAACAAACTATATGCACACACTCACAATGAACTAAGTGATTCTGTCTTCAGATATTCAATATTAATGAAGATACCACAATTCCAGTGGTACAGCTCCTTGGCAGAGTCTTCATTACCAGAAATACATAGTACTGTAGAGAGAAGGATGTTTCCTAGGATATTAGAAAGGAGAGATAGCTATGTATGTTATGAACTTAACCTGTAATTCTTGAGAAAAACATAAACTATGATATGTAAAGGACTAAGGGTGTAATTCAGTGGTAGAGCACTGCCTAGAATACACAA